ATCACCTTCGCAGAACATGACCAATCACTTTTTGAAGTTTGATTTCTGACCACTTCGAAATTTGTAAAACTTGACGGTCACTTTACGAAGTGTCATTTCTGACCACTCCGAGACTTGTAAAACTTGACCGGCCACTTTGGTAAAACTTAATCGATCACTTTATGAAGTTTGATTGTTGACCATTCCGAGACTTGTAAAACTTGACTGATCTCATTTATCCAAAACCTAACCGGTTACCTTTGTAAAGATTGACCAGTAGTGTCAACGGTGTTGAGCGATTATCTGGGTATAAGTTATACCCATCAATTACAATACAAAATATAAAATAATGTATAAAAATAGATCATTTAACTTTTTTCATGAGTAAAAATTAAAATTTCGAGAAAGTGATATTTAAAAAAGGCGAGAAATTAAATATGTATGTTTGTGTGTGTGTGCCTATATATATATATGTGTGTGTGTGTGTGTCAATTCTCGTGAGAATGCACTTTGTGGAGAAAAATGAGAATAAAATCTAGCCATTGGATCTAATTCATTTTGCGGCTCAGATTGCATCCTGCGCTCAGATTTTGAGATAGAACATTTTCGAAGGAATTTGGTGCATTTTGACATGATGCTTTTTCAAACCATTTTGGTGCACATAATTTTGATGCAATCGTGACCCTTAGATGTAATAATCTAAAACACCAGATTCATTCTCATTTCTTTCTTTGATCGCATTTTCACCAGAACCAACATCTCTCTCTCTCTATATGTATGTATGTATGTATGTCTGTGTGTGTGTGTATATATATATACACACACACATACATATATATATACACACACACATACATACATACATATATATACTAGTATTCCTACCCGTGCCATGCACGGGTTCGGACGAATATCTTGTCGATTCTGAATTTATTCAATGTAATATTTTTTTCCGGAATAAAGGAAATATACCTCATGCATGATTTATAATAACACAGAAAAGAAAGGCAAAGTAAAAAGAATAATATATGAGGAATTGAATCTACACACCACAAACCAAATTTTTTGAAAAACTTCAGGGTATACAACATTTTTGGTATGGCTGCAAGGATTTCCATTGTCATCTAAGACTAATATTTTTAATCCTGTCTTTGTCTTCACTCGCAAAACAGCAACATAGAGCTGACCATGAGTGAACACTGACTTGGTTAAAAATAATCCAACAAATGACAATGTTTGACCTTGACTTTTGTTCATAGTCATAGCAAAACATAAGACTTTTGGAAATTGTCTTCTCTAGAACTTTAGAGGTAGTCCTGGATCAGATGGTACCAAATTCATCCAGGGTATGTAAACTTTTTCGCCCACTCGATTTCTCGAAACCACAATAGCACCAATAACATTCTTTCGCATCTCGTCAACAATTATTCTTGTACCATTACACAATCCAGATGTTTGGTCAATGTTCCTCAGTAACATAATTGGTACCTCTTTTTTTAAAACTATCCTGTGGTTTGGGATTCCCGAACATTTGATTTCATTCAAAAACTCAATCGTTATCCAGTCGCCATCGACACCTACATCTGAATCTGCTTGGCATGATGAATCAGAACTCAAGTACACCATTTCATCTCCGGGAATGAGGGATAAGACAAATTCATTTACCATTTCTACAACTTCGAGCATGCATGCTAGTAGTGCCCTGTCTTGGAAAAAAGAATAACTTCTCATTTTCTTCAATAAGTTCGGATAAGTAAAATCCGCTATACTTTTGAGGGGTGAACTGTTATCTATAATCAAAAATTTGAGAGGAATTTCAACGTCAGCAGTTCCATCAATCACTTGTCCAAGCTTTCCATCTCCAACTTTGATTATCCGATCAGAAAAATCTTACGTGTCTCTATCTACGTAAGAGGACGTTGATGAATGTAATCTCATATTCTTCGTCAACTTAAAAACTTTACAATAAGACATAGTTAACGAAATGAGTTGAACTATGTTCAACGAAATGAGTTTCACTATTCGTTGTTCGTTGTTGAACATAGTTCAACGAAATGAGTTGAACTATGTTCAACGAACAACTCATTTGAAATGAATCTCTGTTCTCTGTCAACGAATTGTTACACTCATTTAGTTCAACGAACAACGAATTGTGAAACGAATCTCTAGCTTGCGCAGAGAGATTCGTACCCTAGTCTCACTATGTGAAACTCCGAACTGCTTTTGAAAAAGGGTCGATTTAGGCTCCTTCCCTTCCACTGCGTAGCCGCACTAGCAGGTACTACGAGCCCTCTGTCCCACGCATCTAACCAGCTCGCGTGGTTCACCGGTTCCACCGTTTGTTGACCACAAATATATATAAAATCTAGATTTACTAAATTATACACACACACACATACACACACAAATATATATAAAATCTAGGTTTACTAAATTATTACAAATATATAATTCTTCTCACCACTTAATTCAAAAAATATACGACAAAAACATTAGTGATTTTATTATTCTTCTCCCCCGCATTTATTTAACAAACTTAGATTTCCGATCCTGTAATTTTAATATTAAAAAATCATGATTCTTCTCCGCTAGATTAATTTACATTAACGGAAATATATGATTTTAATTTCTATGACGCATTAATGTGATTCTTCCTCTCCTTCGCCCTTTGCACTTATTAAAAATTGACTCATTTTTCTTGTATTATTAAAATTATGAAAACATAAATTAACAATCATATGATAAGATATATAAATTTTACAATACATTAAAAATATAATGATTAATCTCCCTTGTATTATTTCAAAAATTATGCGAACGCAAAAAAATAGTGATTATATGATTTTAATGAAAATTTTACAAAAACTATTCCATAATTTTTACTCATTTTTTTGCTTTCTTTTTTAAATATAAAATCATTTAAGTGTGTGAAAGTATTCTGGTCAATACATAATTTTTTATAAAATACAAAGAGTTACAATTTAAAAATTATATTTCTCTTTGATGTTGTAGCTGAGCCTAAATCTTATTCACTTCTGCACATTAGATCTTCTTCGTAGTTCTCCTTACAGTATTGATTATCCTTGCATCTAAACTTTAATTTTCACAAATCTTCACGCGTTTCTCGGCCTCCAGATCTTAGAAGTTTTGTAATAATTGAATAGAAAAATATGCATAGTTAGGAAATAATTTATTATAAAAATGAATATATCCATTCTCTTCCATAATTAATTGTACCAAATGACTTCATACCATAGTATTAACTTATTATTTTCTATAATATATTTTACGTGTCAGAAATGTCTCGTAAACAACATCACATCTCAGCTTCTTAGAAATTAAAATATCAATTTTATAAATAAAGGATCAATTATAGAAATATTTGATTCTTTCATATAAGAATACTTTTAGATGAAAATATATCATTATCAAAATTTTGTTTTTTGTGTATTCACTTAGTTAAAAATTTGATTCATAAAAATGCTAGTCTAAAAATGGTAAGTGATAATACCAATTTTATATTTTCACTAATTTTTTGCTACATCATAATAAGTTTTATCATAAAATTATATTTTATANGCTTCTTAGAAATTAAAATATCAATTTTATAAATAAAGGATCAATTATAAAAATATTTGATTCTTTCATATAAGAATACTTTTAGATGAAAATATATCATTATCAAAATTTTGTTTTTTGTGTATTCACTTAGTTAAAAATTTGATTCATAAAAATGCTAGTCTAAAAATGGTAAGTGATAATACCAATTTTATATTTTCACTAATTTTTTGCTACATCATAATAAGTTTTATCATAAAATTATATTTTATATAATTGCTTTCCTTTAATAATTTTATTTCGGACAATACTATATTTATCTTTCACAAATTTGATTTTATAACATAATTAATTAATTTTATCACAACATAACAAATAAATAAATGAATTGCTTTTTAAAAATAAAAAATATAAAAACTCAACTAATGTCACGAAGTAATGAATTCTTTATTTGTCCTAAATCTTTTTAAGTAAATTTTTTTCCAAAATTTGAAATCATTATTAAATTTCTATTTTAAATTAATTTATATTGCATATTGGCTATGTTGCACCAAGACGAGAACAATGACTTATACGGGGATGAGGTCAGAAGCGTGAAACACCAAATTTTTTTATAATTTGTAAATGATTTGGGTGTGGGGTCGCACCCAAGTACTCGACTGGAAATGTTTCGTGGGTAAGAAACTGCACTTATTTGAAGATTCCGTGCAACACAACATGTTCCTATATTGATATAATCAAATAAAATTTTAAAAGTTTTAAGTATGATAAATCTAATAAAATTATTTTTATACTAATACATACTCCCTCCGTCCTAAAACTTTCTTCTCAGAGCACTATTCCAACTTCACGAGAATTTTTACTTATTTGTGTTTTTTCATGGCCTATATGATAAAATAAAATATTCTTGTCACCACTTGTTTTGTTGAACTTTTGATGTAGTTTTTAAATATGTATGTTTTATTTCTTATTTCTATACCAATATTTAAATAAAATAAATTGAAAAAACTTGAGATTTTTCTTCGTTTTGCGCAACGGAAAGAAAGTTTTAGGACTGAGGAAGTATTATAGTTTTTGTTTAGTTGAAATTTTAAGTTTATTCAGTTTGATTTGAAAGAATTAAAATAGACAAATAAACTGACAAGATAGAGTATAAATTTTGGAAGGTGTAGTTAAAATTCTCTCTCATGTGCCAACTAGGATAGTCACAATCCATAGTAGGACGGCACGTGGCAATGCATGAAATGAAGATGCAGCCTCCCCCACAATGGACCCCATCGGTACATTCAGAATTTGAATCCTCTCCCACTCATCCAAAAAGAGACGTTAGAAAATTTCAATTTCTCTGCATTGACAATAATTAAAAACGCCCTTTTTTTCTTCTTTCTCTAATTCCATTTTCCCACTTCACTTTCTCTTCCACTTCAATTTAATGCTTCTAAACTTTTGCAGCGACCCACTAAATCAAACGTCACAAAACAAAACACTTCGGTAGGAGTGTAACCATTCAAGCCCCAAGCCTCAATCTTGGTTCTTTTCATGTTTCTTGGATTCACAGTATGGTAGATGCTTAGAAGTTCTTCAAATTATTTCCGGGGTAATTTGAGTTTTTCTAATATCATTTGAAGCATTTCTTGTTTTTTTGAATTTCTGGGGTTTAATTTCTGTGTTGCTTCAGTAAAGTTTGTTTCTTTCTTGGTAAGATTTTAGAAATATTGCTAATTCCAAACTGGTGATGAGTTATTGATGAAGTTTGATCTTCATATTTCCTTTAATTGTAACTGTGAAGCATGGAATGAGATGAAACTTGATAAAGTTTCAATCTGTAAGCATTAAAAAAAATCATATGATCTCAATCATTTCATATTTTCTTGATTTTTTTGGGTTTCTTTGATTTTGTTAATAAAACATTAGTTTTCTTGATTACAATGAAGTCTTCTAGGTTGCTGTCTTCTAAGCAGTAAGTGGAGCAGAGTTGTAGATGAGCGTTGATGATCATATTGCCTTTAATTTCAAGTGCGAAGCTTGAAATGTGATGAAGCCAAATAAAGTTTCAATCTTTAGTTCAGTTGACTAATCATTTTATACTTTGGAATATCTTGTACCCCATGATATTGAGGAATGTAAAAAAGGCATTCTTACACATAGATGATTCTTGAAACAACTAGGTTCAAGAGAATATAAAATGAGTTTTTCAATTTCTAGACGAACCTTTGGACCGAGGTACAAAATGTTCTAAATGGATGAAAATATCACAAAATGAGTGGAATGCATCTCCCCCACATATGGAATTTATAACCTAATAGACAAGAGAGAAGATGCTACTACCAATTTCTATTGTTGTCGCTCTCAAAGGATTTCTATATTGCTGATTTTGTTCTACATTTCATTTCAAGTATACCAATGTGCTTAGTTACTTACTAATTCCATCACCAAAATGGAATAATTTGCAGAACATTGTGCGAATTTGGGAATGTTTATAAGGAATCCTTGAAAACTGCATTGAGATGGGGGCAGAGAGACACGGCTCCAAGAGAGGGGGAGGAGGAGGAGGTTATGTTGGTGGTTTTCTGCAGCTTTTTGATTGGAATGCAAAATCAAGAAAGAAGTTGTTTTCTAGCAAATCTGATTCACCTGGTAAGTTCAAAAATATGATTTTTTTTCATGTCCTTTTTTGCATTTTTTGTTTCTGACACTCTAAGGTGATGATGAATTAATGAATGTGTCTCTATTTTTGTACTCATTTGGCATTTGATCTTTTTTTTATCTGGCATATATAAAGGCTGAAGGCTCATATATTTCTCCATCTCTTGTAGAGCATTCCAAAATGAAAAAGAGATGCGACGGGAATTTGCCAATGACTCGATATCATCTGGTCAGTTTACACTTAAAATCACACATTCCTAACTCCATTATCTTCAACTTTATGATAAGTTAAATGCACTTTACGAGCTGTAATGCTAAGTGTGGATGCAGGTTGAGGAGGATGAGATGAACACTAACACCGGCAGTTATAGCTATGCATCATCAATGACAGATGATGAAGAGTTTTGTGTGAAGCCCCCGGGGGTGGTGGCGAGGCTTATGGGCTTGGATCCATTGCCTCCATCATCATCAAACTTGTCGCAGTTCTACTCAAGCACTCCATTTTCTGAGCCATGTTGGCGCTCAAGAAACCAGAAGGCGATCGCGACACCAATTCACAAGTTCCAAACTGAGATTTTGCCTCCCAAATATGCCAAGACAATACCAATCACTCACCACAAGCTTCTCTCGCCTATCAAGAGTGCATCTTCCATCCTGCCCGAAAATGCTGCCCAAATCATGGAAGCAGCAGCTAGAATTATCGAGCCCAGCGTGACAACCAGACCAAAAATGCCATCTTTGGGTGGTTCTTGTTTGGCTCCCTTGAAGGTGAGAGACCTTAAAGTGAAAGTCGAGTCGGCTTCTAGAAGGGTTAGTGGAACCAATACCACGAAATGTCTCAACAGAAGTGCATCAAAGGAGAGGGTTGTGGTTACTTCAGAGTCAGAAGAAAGTTATGGTGGGACGAAATCTAAAGGGAAGTCAATTTCTTTAGCACTACAAGCAAAGGAGAATGTGCTAAAGAGGGAGGGATTGAATAATGTTTCTAGCGCGAAAGAACCAAGCGATCTATATTCAAATCAGATCATGCAAAGAAATAACATTCAAAAGAAACCATCATCTGCAGTTAGTGTTCTTAGGCAGAACAATCAAAAGCAGAATTGCTCATCCGATAGAGGAAAACCATCTTCAAAGCCACAAGGAAAGAGAGCACTCACCAGAGATTCTTCTTTTTCTCAGCATAAATCTTCAACAATGAAAAAAAGTGCTGAAAGCTCTAACAAAATCAGTTCAAGGGGGTTGAGCTTGGAAATGAGTACAAACAAAAAGGAAGAAATATTTTTCAGTAACAAAAACATGACGCGAAAGAAACAACGGTCTACAGATGGCAATTTCTCGTCTGGGAAAAAGCATTCGACTTCGGGCAATAGGAGTGAAGAACTCTTTCAATCTTGTGGATTGATGGATAGGGAAGGGACAAACATAGTTTCTTTTACATTCAAAGCTCCCTTAACACGTTCTACGCCCATCAATGAGATATCCAAAGGAGTGGAGAAAAACTCTTCTGATCTTAGTGCAGATTATAGAGTTAAAAAGTTTCATCATTCCCCAGAGAGAATCAGTAGCTTGAAGTCACCCTTATTAGCTCATGATGGCATAGGAGGAAGAGATTTAAGCTATCTTTTGGAACAAAAGCTTAGAGAACTTACTGAGAAAGTGGAACCTTCTTGCCAAACATCAACCATTTTGCATGATGATCCCATGCAAATAGACCATCTCCCGGTTAGCCAACATCACTTCGTCTTTTCTTCAACAGATTCCATGGAAATGACAGTGAAACACAAACGACAGGTACATTTTTCAGGCTTTCTATCCATCACTCATGCTTATGTGCTGGTATAACAATGAGTAATTGATTTGGTTTCCTTTGATTGTTTAGGCAGTCGAAGGAACGTGCCATTATACAAAAAAGTTGTGTGATCGACGATTCCCTAGCCCCATATCTGTTCTTGAGAATTATAATTATTCTACAGAAAGTTGCAATTATTCAGATATGGAGAGTAATACTACACCGAGTAAGATGACACAACTAGACACACTGTTTATGTTCCTAGGATGAAGCAAACAAGATCTAATCTTTTTTAAATGAATTCCAGGCAGTAAGCAAAGTTCATCAAATCACGCTCAAGAAATTGTTGGCATTACCTCATTGAACAGGCTCCATTCCAGGGAAGCTGATTCTGAGCTGCTGGACTCAGCTTCTTCAAGAACTTCATATTTCACCGAAGATCGAAAAGCCCACATCGGAAAATCACCATCCGAATGGGAGCTAGAATATGTGAAGGAGATTATTGGCAGTACAAATCTTGACTTGATGATGATGATACTCCATGCTTTCTCAGTAAAGCCACATCTTTATGACCTGCTGGAGTGCAGAAAAGTGATGGATGGCCATGGACATGACCTGAGACTAGAACGAAAGGTTCTATTCGATTGCGTGAGCGAATGCTTGGAGTCAATGTGCGCGAAATACGGAGGAGGCTGTGGGTATGAGATGTGGGCAAAGGGTACATTGGTAGTTGGACGAAAGGACCGTCTTGCAGAAGAAGTGTACAGGGAGATACTGAGGTGGAGTGGGCTTAGAGACTCCATGGTTGATGAGCTTGTGGACATGGACATGAGCAATGGCTCTGGGAAATGGTTGGACTTTGAAACCGAAGAGTTTGAGCTTGGATTGCAGCTAGAGAATGGTTTGATTGATTCTTTACTTGATGAAGTGGTTAAGGACATGTTAATTGTTCTTTGAAACTGATGGCATTTGAATTTGGGATTTGCAAGATAGAGGAAATTCTTTACTCTAAGTTTGGATTGACACTAGCTTTTGATTATATATTACATCTTTCATTGTTTTTTTGGCTCTACTACATATACGTGTTTGAATTCGGTTATTTTGACATTGACTTCTCACGTCATAATAAGACATTGTTCCAGTTGAGACGTCTACGGTACTCAATTCGACTTGTGAGTTGTTCATACCTCTCCAAGACCAAAGGGGGTGCATGGCCGTGATGACCATGTCAGACCGGGATCAGGGGGGCACTGCCCCCTCTCGTGATGTCACTCACTCTTACTCTTTCTCACAACGTGGACGTCCCATGATTCTAATGAAGCCGGATAATCTTTTCATGAATACAATGGTGCAAGCGTTTCAGATTCTTTTGCAAAAACAACAAAACATTGGGAGGAGAGGATATAAAAGTTTGACCAAAGTAAAACAAAGACATTTGAAACAAGGGCTCGGGACATGTCAAAATGGATAGAGAGTATATAATCGTTTTGGTACGTTCGGTTAGATTTTAAAAAAAAAAGAAAGGACAATTGTGCTAATTTAGAGAAAATTGAAATATTTTATGTGACGAATAAGAAGTTAAAATTGAAATGTTTTAAGGGACGGATGAAGTATACTTTATTCTAGCTTTTCAAAAAATTACATTAGAGAAAAATTACAGAATCGAAAAAATTTCGTTTGGTTCCGTGCATGCCATTGTTAAAATCCTAGTAAAGCAAAATACAATATCACACACACTCATTAAGCTCAAATTACCATTATGATAAACAACCTTAAACTACCCTACTTTAGCTACTAGTAGTAGTATTATTAGGGTCATTATCCCATGGCCACAGCACAAGGTCATCTAATCCTTCCCAAATCTCATCGTACCCTCCAAACCCATCATCGTCATTGTCGATAATCCAGTTTACCCATTCCTCCTCGCCGTAAAACACGGAGTCTCCGGCGGCCGGGATCTGACACGTGTACATTTCCGCGGCGGTCGCATCGCCGCACCCTCCTCTGGGGCATTCCGCTTTAATTACCGCCGGATCTTCATCAAAACCTTCACCGGCGGCCGCGGGGAAGACCGGCGGCGGTTGCCAGCTGGCGGTGGGGTCGGGTGTTTTTGACAGCTGGGGGCCACATTTATTGGAGGCGGCGGTGGGGTGGGATGCGGTGTTGTATTTTTTGGCCACGGATCGGCTTACCCGCCCCGCTCTTCGCCTCCGTGAAACGGCGGCGGCGGCGGTGTCGGGCAACGGCGGCGCGTGGGCGTTCCGGATGAACCTGAAACTGTAAATTCTGCGGCTGAGGTGGGAGTTCCAGTAGTTCTTTATTTCGTTATCTGTACGTCCCGGCAAATGGCTTGCTATGGTTGACCACCTGCAAAATCACCATTTACACTTTGATTATTTATTTAAGATGAAATTTAATCAAGAAATCACACGACTTAATCATAAAAGTATTAAAATATGAATTCTAGTCTCTATGATGATTAACCAAATGTGTAAAACAGAGTGGATACTTGATGGTGATCAGAACACTAAGTTGTTTTTCTCTTGGATCAAGAAAAGAAGGCTCCAAAATCAAATAGTTTCCATCAAGGATGAAAATGGGAGCATGGTTGAAGGGAATATGGAGGTAGCAAGAATATTGGTGGAATATTATAAGGGGATCCTGGGAACCCCCACACACACTGATGATGTTGATGATAAAGTGATGAATGAAGGGGGGAAACTTAGTATTGAACAGCAACTGAGTCTTATCTCAGAAGTTAAGGATGAGCAAGTTAGAGAAGCCTTCTTTGGGATACCAAACAGCAAGAGTCCAGGCCCTGATGGGTTCAGCAGTGGTTTCTACAAGAATCAATGGGATGTGGTAGGGGAGTTGGTCACTAGGGCTGTCCTGGAGTTCTTTAGCACTGGGAAATTTCTAAAACAAATTAATGCCACAAATCTGACTATGATCCCTAAGGTTGAAGCCCCAGCCATGCCTACGGATTATAGACCAATAGCCTGTTGCAATGTCATTTACAAAGTAATCTCCAAAATCTTATGCAACAAATTAAAGAATGTGCTGCCGGCAGTGGTGGACCAGAACCAATGTGCCTTTGTGAGAGGAAGGGACTTGGTACATAATGTGCTGCTTTGTCATGAGTTGACTAGGGGGTATAAGAGGAAAGGGATTTCTCCCAGGTGTTTGATTAAACTGGACATAAAGAAGGCTTATGACTCTGTAAGCTGGAGGGCAGTTCTGCAGATTATGTGTGAATTGAAGTTTCCCCACCAGTTTGTAGCATGGGTAGAGCAATGCATCACTACCCCAGCCTACTCGGTACAGATGAATGGGGAAAAGTTTGGATATTTTAAAGGGTGCAAAGGCCTGAGGCAGGGAGACCCAATCTCCCCCTTGCTATTTGTTCTGGTGATGGAACTTTTAAGTAGACAATTGAAGCAAATGGCTCAGGAGAAGGATTTCAAATTCCACCCCATGTGCAAATCTCTGAAATTAATTAACCTTTGCTTTGCAGATGATTTGATAATAGTTTGTAAAGCTGAGGAGGAGTCCCTAAGGTGTATCATGGATGTCATAGTACCACAGGACTAAGTATCAATAATAACAAATCAACAATAGTTTTTGGAGGAGTGGATAAGAGGACTCAAGAGAGATTATTAAAGATGACAAACCTATCACTGGGAGAGTTACCTTTGAGGTATTTGGGCAGTCCTATCACAGCTGCACGCATAAGTGAAAAGGAGTGTGACAGGTTAGTAGAAAGTATTACTGCTAGAATCACTATCTGGGCATCTAAACACCTATCCTATGCGGGGAGGTGTAGGTTGATCAATAGTGTGTTATTTGGTATAATGACCTTTTGGTGCAAACTGTTTGTAATTCCTACTTGAGTGATGAAAATTGTGCAGAGCATCTGTAGGAACTTCCTGTGGGGGGCAAAAGCCAACTAACTATGGTAAGAGACCGCTGGTTAATTGGGAGGAAGTCTGTCTCCCTAAAACTTATGGGGGCTTGGGTTTAAGGAATATGATTCTGTGGAATAGGGCATATATTCAAAACTATTGGTGGGATGTGGCAAACAAAAAGGACTGCCTGTGGGTTAAATGGATCCACGAGAGATATATGAAGGATGGGGTGTCAAGTTATAAATCGGGAGGGGATAAATGTTTCTATTGGAAAAAGATAGTGCATAATAGGGGCTGGTTTGAGAAGATGGATTTAGCGGGTGAGTATACTACTGAAAAAGGCTACTCTTGGCTTATCGGGTTGAGAAATAGTGTGGACTGGTACCCCCTGGTATGGAACAAACTTTCACTGCCCAAGCACCAGTTCCTGATGTGACTGATCTGCAAAGACAGATTAAACACCAAGGCAAGAAGAGTTGGAAGGTTTATTAATATTGATACAACTTGTGAGTGGTGTGAAGGAATAGAGGAGGATGTGAATCATCTGTTTTGCAACTGTAAGGTAACACAAGCTATCCTTCAAAAACTGTCAGCATGGTTGGAATGCAAAATAGGGGGGGGGGGGAGTATTGAAGAGATCACAGATGGCCTAGGGAGGATCAAAGGCAAGAATAAACTAAGGTGTATGAGTGCTTTTTCTGCAGGATGTTATGCTATTTGGAGGGCTAGGAACAAAAGCTTACATGATAAGGAAAAGCTGCGGGAAGAAGAAATTTGTGGCTGGGCTATAGCACAACTTAATATTTTTTGGAGTAAACATAAAGTTTAGAAGGCCAGTAGGTGCTGGACTTAGTTGTTGGTCTTAACTGTTTGTTATTTATCTGAGTTTGAGATGTAATAGTTCATGTAGACTTGCAGGTT